GCAGCCCCTCGTGGGTACTCAACTTCCTGCTGCAGAAGCCCACGGAGCAGGGCCGCGGCTGCGGCTTCGTGTTCGGGGCGACCTGCTGCTGCCGCCTATTCCTGGGGTGCGCCTTCTTCTCCTACTGGGGTGGCCGCGCCAAGCGCAGAGGCCGAGGGCGCTCCGGGGCCACAGGGGCCTTCGGCTCGGGCCAGGGCGCCCGGCGCCGGGGGCGCGACGAGAGGCTCATCTAGCGCGCCCCCCGCCCCCCGTCCCCGCCACCAGACCCCACCATCCATGTGCAGTGTGGAGTTTTATTAAGTGTTCGTGTGTGTGTGTGGACACATTTTCCTTTTCGGTTGCTCTGTCCTTTGGTTCGTGCTCGCCTCGCTTTTTCCACACTCCCTGCTCTCTGGCTCTCTGTGACTCTCTCTTCTCTTCGAAAATTTTCCGAAGTCCGGGCTCGGGCTCGCGCTCCCTCCCCTTCCGCCCACCCCGGCCCCTCGGTGGCGCCCGCGGGAGGGGGGGCGGCGGCCTTGGGGGCCGCAGGGCGACGCGGCCCGGGGGGTGGAGCGTTGGCGTCGCGCGAGGGGTCGTCCCTGGCTCGGAGCCGCCCCCTCCCCCCCCGCGGCCGGCCCGGCTGGGGCCCGAGCCAGGGGGGCGAGGGGGCGGCGCCCCAGCCTGTCCCCGTCCCGTCCCGGGCCGGGCGCGGGCGGAGGGACCCCCCTTCCCGGGCACCCGGGGGGCGCCTCCCTCCGCCAGCTCCCGCCCTCCCCGCCGCCGCGGCCGCCGCGGCCGCTCCTCATCCCTCCTCCTCCTCCTTCCACCCCCCTCGCCGCCGCCGCCTCCTCCTCCCCCCGCTCCCCCCGCCCGCCGGGGCCCTTTTGGGTAGGGGCGGCGGGCCCGGGCCGAGGCAATAAGAGCGGCGGCGGCGGCAGCGCGGCAGCAGCGCCCGCAGCTCCTGCTCCGGTCCGCCTCGGCCCCGCGCGGCCAGCAGCCCCTTCGGCTCCGGCTCGAGGGGCGGGCAGCGCGCTCCCTCGCCCGACCGCCACCTCCCGCCCCGCGCGGCCCGCAGTCCGCCCCGCGCTCCTCCCCGAGGAGCCGAGCCCGCGCCCGGCCCGCCCGCCCGGCGCTGCCCCGGCCCTCCCGGCCCGCGTGAGGCCGCCCGCGCCCGCCCGCCGCCGCCGCCGCAGCCCGGCCGCGCCCCGCGCCCGCCGCCGCCGCCATGGGCTGTCTCGGAAACAGTAAGACCGAGGACCAGCGCAACGAGGAGAAGGCGCAGCGCGAGGCCAACAAAAAGATCGAGAAGCAGCTGCAGAAGGACAAGCAGGTCTACCGGGCCACGCACCGCCTGCTGCTGCTGGGTAAGGGCGGGGCGGGGGCGCCGGCCCCGGCCCGGCCCGGCCCGGCCCGGCCCGGCGGCCCCGAGGGGCGCCCGCAGGCCGCGCGCGCCGAGCCCGCCCCCCGCCCCGGGCGCGCGCTCCCGAGCCCGCTGCCCGCTCGCGGGCTCTGTCTCTGGGGGGCGAGGCCGGAAGGGGGACCCCGGGGCGCAGATTCGGCCGGGCGGGGGCTCCAAATGGGGCGGGGGACCGTGGCGGCGCGGGCGCGGGGTCCCCTTGCCCGGCCGGCGCTCTCCCACTGTCTCTTTCTCTTTCTCGCCCTCCCCCCTCGCTCTTTTCTCGCTCTCTCTTTCCGCGAGGCCTACACGACGCCAGGGGCTTGGGTGCTTGTTGGGGAGGGGGAGGGGGAGCCCCACCGGGCTCGGGAGACTGCGACAAAAAGAGGGTTTCGGGGACAGGAAATGGGGTGGCGGGCAGAGGGAGGGGGACCCGCCTCCGTGGGTTGTGTGATTTGTTCGGCGAGGGAAAGAAAGAGGGGCCAGGGCGGCGGGGGTAACGCGGGGGGGCGCCGCGGTGGCCGAGGGGGCCTCGCCAAGGGGAGGCTTTGGCGGGGGAAGTGGCCGAGGAGGGGGGGACGGGTGACATCAGCCCCTCGGAAGGGATCGGAGTGGTAAAGGTGGTGCAGCGAGGGGGAGGGGGCGCGGGCGAGTCGTGGCGCCGGAGTGGGGGGCGGGGAGCAGGGCGCGCGCGGCCGCTGGGCGCGACTTGGTGCGTTTCGGCTGGACAGACTGTGTGCGCGCGGGGCAGACGTGTCCCGGCCGGGCCGGCGGTGGAAGGAAGGGAAGGAGAATCAAATAAAATAAGACCAAAAAAAAAAAAAAAAATGGAGTTAGTACGCTAAGTGCCCAGTGAAGCCAAATGACACGTCATTTTTACAGTATGACCTTTTTTTCCCCTTCCAGACATGCAGGCTTTTTGAAAAGCAAAGAAGAGAATTAATTGTAGCAGCTGCCCTCACCCCCACCCCCCGCCCCGCAGCAGCGCCCCCCCCAGCCCTTAACACACATTTTCCTGTTAGTCGGCCACATTGAGAGAGCTTTGTGACAAAAATGGGGGGGGGGAACATTCACAAATCAGAACTGGAAAATGACATTTGTCTGTAAATGGCTTCTTGATCTGGAAATGGCGTTTTTTGTCCTTTTCAAGGTGGGGGGGGCGCTGAGAAGACTTTTTTCCCAGGTGGAAGGAGATGAAAAGACGTTAATTAGTTGTTTGTCAAGTGGCATTCGGTTGGTTCTGGATTTTCTCTCTTGATTGCGGTTTTGACTCTGGCCAAAAAAAGGGGTGGGGGCCTGACCTCGAGGGAGGTGGCGTCTCCTGCTTTTTTCTCGAAGTGCTGCCCTGGGGAAAGAAAAAAATAAGACAAAAGAAGCCGAAAAGAAATGGTTGAAATGGCCAGAAGAATGCACAAACCCTAATTAGGATGGAAGTTCCCACCTCCGTAGTAATTTGGCCACCAGAGCTAATTGGCGAATTTGCTAGGTTAGCACCTCGCTCACGGTCACATTTCAGCAAAACAGCTTCATTACAGAGAATAAAACATAAAAGCAGGCTTCTCTTTGTGGTGGTGTCTCGTTTGCTTTTTCTGGATGGGTCATGTCTTTGTTCTCCTGGGTCCAGGTTTATAAAAAGGTGAAAATTATTAATTAAGTGAAAATACGTCTCTTTGCTGTTTACGCATCTGCAGTGTCAATAATTAAATGATACACATGTCGAGATCTTATCTAAAACTTCTCCAGGTAGGATTGCACTGTGCGAATGATGATATGCATATAATTTTGATTTCAAAGCGCAAGCCTGGAAAACTCTAGAATCTCTCCCCAGGAATGCTGACTTGTTAGCTGAGCCTCATTTCGGACAAGCGCGGTGCTGAGGGGCCTTAAACCTCTGACACCTCGTGCAGCAATCACAGAGGCTCCTCTGCACCTGCGGCTATTCCGTGGCCCACACCGCGCTGCCCTGGGGAAGCTTCCCCAGGTGTCCGGGTTCCTCTGGTGCAGGTGTCTGCAGCCCCAGCCTGAGCCATGGGCCGGGCATTTTTTTTTAAAGGGTGATTCTCACCCAATAATGCCCCCCCCAAAAAAGGGGGAAATGGATGCCCCAAGTCGTCTTGGTGATCCATCTAAATTTAATGGCAAAAATCGAGTGAATTGCAGGGGCACAAAACAGCTTGCAGTGATTTTTCCAGCCCAGTTCCCTAATTTCACGTGTGTGGAAACTGAGGCACAGGTCTGTTGGTGCCCGTAGAAGACAGGCCCCACACCCTAACACCCCCGAGACAAGACGGGTGGGGGCTCTGATTCCTAATTCTGCTTTCTCATGGAATCTCCAGCTCGTGTCTTTAATATTTTAATTTGTGAGAGTTAGGCTCATTAAGATAGAGTGTTTGCTTTGAAATCAATGTTTCTGTGGAAACAGATTTTAACTTTTACAGTTATTGATTACAGCCTTGTGAAAGGCAGGGGAAGGAGGAATGCTTTGCTCTCAGGGAAGTAAAACAATTAAGAAAATTAGAAGGGAAAAGGGGGGATAAGAACACAGGCCTGGGGGGGGCAAAACAGAGCTCAGACAAGGGCTCTTGGCAGAGCGCGCATTTCCAAACAAAAAGAAAAAAATTTAAAAGCCCAGCAATCCTCCTTCTACCTTGGAAACTTGGTTTTTCAATGTTTTTACAAATGTCAGGTGATTTAAAATGGAGGTACGTGCCCCCTTCTTACTTTTAAGTTGGGAAGGGCTTGAAATCTCTGAAAACGCAGTGGTTTCCAGGAATATTTGTCCTCATGATTAAAGTCTGGTCCTTTTTAACTCTTCTTACAGTTGCTGCATGTTTATGTGGTTGTTCACAAGCACAATATTTGGTATTAAAAGGTGTTTTTCTAGAAGACTACAAAATTGGTGGTCTTCCCCACCCCCATACCCCCTCCCAACATGGTTGTTGACTCCAGAGAGAATTTGTCTTTGGAAAGACAGAGTTTGCAGGGACGGAGTGTGGGCAACGGGGTAAAATGCCACGTTGTGGCTTGAGGGGCTGACTTCTCAGCAGCCCCGGGGGCGAGAAGCCCGCTCAGAATGCCGCTGCATGGGGACCGTGCCCGGGAGGCTGCGTCAGAGCGGAGCTGCGCTCTGCAGTGCCTGGGCATTGTTCCTGGGTCCCGGCTGCTTAGCCGTGAAACACCTGACAAACAGTGAATTGGGGGCCCTATACATTCACGTGCAGTTTACCAGTGAATGTGCGGGTTCCAAGGATTCAGTTTCACAGTTTGAACTTTGATTTTACACCCCCCCCCAAAAAAATTGCGTCATTCCTTCCCCCCCTTTGCTGCCCCGCTCCACAAATTCTAAGACAACCAAAAAACCAAAACCAAAACCTGAACACAGCAACACCTTTAATTCTTGTTTGTTATTCTGCTGGTGACATACTGCAGGGGTACAGAGTTGGACATTTATTTCATTTTTGAGGCGTCGAAACGTCCAGGAAAATTGCAAGTCTGTCATTTTGTTTGTTTGTTTGTTTGTTTGTTTGTTTTGCGTGTGGCTTCTATGGAAAAAACAGCAGTTCCCTCGGTGCCCCCAGTGTGTAAAATGCCCCTTCATAACCTGAGGCTTGCTTTCATTTTCCAGGTGCTGGAGAGTCTGGTAAAAGCACCATCGTGAAGCAAATGAGGATCCTGCATGTTAATGGGTTTAATGGAGAGTAAGTGTCCAAGCTGGGCCAGGCCAGGGACAGGAGCTCGCTCACCCCGACCTTTGGGGAGTTAGGCAGCTGGTGGGGGGGGCTGGGCAGCCAGTTTTCCCTTAATTTTTCAGCCTGCGTATTAGAAAATCTGGGAAGAGCTCTTTAGGGATCTCCCCCTCCCTCCTTTTCCCGTTTGGTGCAGCCACAAACAATAACAGCAATAATAGTAAAGCAGCAGCCTTGTAAAAAAAAAAAAAGCAAGCAAGCTCCCCTCTGCTAGGAAAGCAGCGGCGGCCGGCCCGGGGACAGCTCAGCTGCAGACTTTGGTGCAGCGGGGCCCCGGCGGGCCGTGGCCTCCCCCTGCACCAGGCGACACTGACCTCTGCAGAGGGGGTCCCCCCCCCCCAGCGGATTTCAGCGCAGTGCACCAAAGCAGGATGTTTTAAACTATTAGGGAAACATTGTTTCAATAGTGTTCTCACACAGAACAGAGTTAGAAGTGGCAGCCCTTGGTAATAATTCCTCATCCCCCACCTCTGGAATTAATACCATGGGCAAATCAGCGGTTCCTCTTTTAGAAATCAATAGTCTTGCCTGAAGGGACCGAGAGGGGACCCTGAAGTGGGGGAAAGGCTGGGGGTTAGGTACTTCCGGCCTGATTGAGGGGCACTCTTGCCTTTGAAATGTCCTTCCAGACGTCTTGGGATAGGACAATGGGACAGTGAGAATAGAGATGCAGAGAGACTGCCAGACCCCAGCAAAGCGGAGGGGCCTTTGTTTTCCTGGTGTGAGCAGGGGGCCGCCCCCCCCAAGCGCCAGGGCGCTGGTTTGCCCTTTCTAACTGATCGGCCGTCGAGTCCCCTTTCCTTGTCAAGGTGGTGAAGTTGAATTCAGTCAGACACCGCCTCCCCCACCCCCGCCCAGAAAAAAAGAAAAAAGAAAAAAGCCTTGACTGTCCCCTGAGCACCAGGGACACAATGGATTTTACCACCTTTCAGAGGTGAAAGAGCTGCCCTGGAGGCAGCACTGTATGGAAAATTCTAGAATTTCTTAGACCAAATAATGGGGGGGGTGAGGAAAGGGTGGCACCGTGCAGATGGACAGCGGAGGGTGCCTTTGAGGCTTTGGCCGGGAAGTCGGAAGGATGGGCCATGTACCAATTTTATGGCCGACTCCCGGTGAGTGGTCAATAACGCACATGCGTGTGCTGTTCATTAAACAAGTCGCCCTCGTTCATCAGGGAGCGATTCTGAAATTCTTTAGTTCCTTACACGCCCCTCAGGAAGGTGGTCCCCAGAGGGGGTCATCGGTCAATAAACAAAAACCTGAAACAGACTTCTCTCTGTATGAATTTGTCACTTAAAGAAAAACCTCCTGCATAACACCCCCTCCCCCCGCAATTTAACGGGGAGCGCTTCTTCACCACTCTAGTTAAGCAAAACTAATTTGACCGTGTCCCCTCTAGATAAATATTTTGATTGAAACCGGACCTGGCCAGCATGTTTAAAAGGGCGCAGTGGCCGCTGTTTACCTTTGTTCGAGTCCGGTGGAAGGCCCATGCAATAATTTACTTCAGAGTTTCCTTACTCTGCTGATTGCCCTCCTTTTTTTTAATTTTTAGAGAAAGGATTCTCCTCCCTAAGCGAGCCAGTCTGTAATGCAGACCAGGCACTTAAAGCAAAACTTCTCTTTTCTATTTTCCTTTTTTTTAAAAAAAAAAAAAAAAAAAAAAGAGGAAGCCATGTTCCCGGTTGGCCCGCTTTGTAGAGGAAGCCGTAGGTAATCTCCCGGGGTGTTGTCTGTAGCCTGAGAAAGGGACGCGGGCTTCTCGCAGCGAGCCTAGGAACCTTATTTTCATCTGGTCCAGCAAGCCTCCTTTTTTCCCTTTTTCCTCGCTGTGGTGTTGCAACCAAAACGGTGCCCTCCCCGGCTAGCGGCTCCCTGTGAGGTCGGCCCCCTCTGCAGCCTGTGCTTGGGCTGCGCGCTGGCCCCGCGTGGAGCAGCTTGTCCTGCTAATCTGACTTTTAGACACAGAGGTCAAGTTCGGACTGTCCTAACGCATAGCTAACTCTCTTCCTTCCGTTGAGTGCCACAAACACAGTGCTATTAACCCTGGCTGAGCTAATCAGCTGATCGATGGGCGACCGGGCAGCTTAGCCGCACTGCCCTCCGACCTGCAAGGAGGGGGGCCCCCCCCCGCCACCCCCCGCGCCCCCAAGTGCGAAGACTGGGTTGTGAGAGGTAGTTTTTTTGTTTGTTGGTTTGGTTTGATTTTCTGAGTCCAAACATGGTTTTAATTGGTGAGACTTTGTGGGGAACAATTACGTATCAATAAAAACACTTTATGTAGCTTCCCAGGCTGCAGGAAGGGAGGTCCTCACAGCGCCCCAGAGGTCATGGGCAAGCGCACCCGAGTCCCCACCGGGGCGCGCTCGGGGCTGCGGAATTCTCCCAAGAATTGGCGGCAGATTGCTGCTTTGGCTCCCCGATGCACGTCCATTTAGTGCAAGCACAAGAAAATAATTATCAGTCCCTTTGGTCCCCGACCGGGCGTCTCTGGAGGGCTCTGCTAGCTAACTCGGCCACCAAGGCTCACGGAGGCCTCAGCCCCAGGAGACGGTCCCAGCAGCCAGAGAGGCGACGTGAGCAGGAGCGGGATGGCGTCGGCCGCGGCCCTGTGCGGGGCGTGCAGAGAGGCTGGGGGGGGTTTGTGGAATTGCCGTGCCTTGCAGATTAGGTGAGCTTTCAATCTCTCTTTACAAGGGGCGGCGAAGAGGACCCGCAGGCTGCCAGGAGCAACAGCGAAGGGTAGGCACATTCAAAAACAGAAAAACTTTTGACAGACAGACACACACGAAGATCATACGGGGAAACTGAGGGCAGCGCCCGGGAGGAAAACATGTCATTTCAGGGCCATCCTCCATCTTGGTGTACGTTTGCAGAGGGCCAGGCAGTTCCATGACATCTCGCAGCACGCGCAGTGTGAAGCAATTTTTTTTTTTTTTTTTTTTTTTTTGTTGGCCATCCTTAAAGTATAATTAGGTGCAGCTGGGGGAAAGTTATAGCTTGCAGCAGGAGATGATCAGTTTAGGATTTTGAGAACTGCTTTTTCTCCTGATGGGTCCTGCCCTATGCAGGCCCGCGACCCCCCGCGACCCCCCAGCTCTCCACTTGAATGTGCTACTTGTTTTCAAAACTATCTGCTGAATTCCATCCACCCAGGGGTCGCTCTGATTTTAAAATTTCAGACCTCTGAGAAAATGTTGCTGAACTCCACGGTGCCGCACCACCCTTAGTGTGGGGGGAGATGCCTGGCACCTTGGGAGGGGCAGGGCCTTGTCACCCATGATCTCAAGCAGCCTCTGGTCTTTAAAAGTTAGCAAACTCGCTGCAGTCCAAGGCCCTGTCGCGAGCTCGTGGACAGGAAATGGGCGATGGCTTCCACCTTTTTTTTTTCCTTTTTTCTTTTTCCATTCATTGTCGAGCTAAGTGCTCCCTCATCCCCGCATCCCCACCGCCCGTCACACGCCGACACACACACACGTGCATGCCAGGGGCGCGCCCGCACACCCCGCATGCTGTCCGCCGGCAGCCATTTGTCATGAGCCGCGCGGGGCCATCCAGGGGCCGAGGCATTTGGAAGGATAGCTCGCGAGGCCGGGGAGGGGCGGGGCAAAGGAGGCGGGGCCGGGGCCAGGTGACTGACACGTGTTTGTTCATCTGTTTTTTTTAGAGTGTATTATTCCTAGATGGTGGCTTCCCGTTCCTCTCCTTCCCGGCTCTGCCCCACCACCCTTTGCATGCTGGGATTGCCCCGTCCTGGGACCTCCTAATAAGAATACTATTCTGTTGTGGGGGGGAGGGGGGAGGGGCCCCACCACGTAATCTCTAAAGATAACTGGAAAAAAAAAAAAAACAAAAAAAAAACAGAAAAACACAAAAATCAAACAAAAAAAAAATGGAATGAAATCCTTAATTGTCCAAAATGTAGTGTGACATCCAAAATAGGCATCTGCGTAGCCAGTGACTAAGTGTGTCCGTGTACTGTACCAAAAGTTGGCGTTGAGAGGCAGCGCAAGCCCCTGCTCCGCGCCCCCCCCCTGCACTAGACTCTGTGCGAGCCCCCCCTCTACTAACCCGCCCGCTCTCCTCTCTGACTGGTCTGCACTAAATACAAGTATTAACACGCGTGACTAATAAAACTTCTCTGCATGTGTCTGCGGTCCCTGTCTGTCTTTCTGTCTTTCTTCTTTTGTCTGTCTTTCCCCTTGAAAGCATGAAGGTAGAGAACAGCGGCCCCCACCACTCTCGGAGGGGGAGGTGGGAGGCGGGAGGCGTGGGACTCAAACCAAGCTCTTCTGCTTCTTTATGGGGGGGGGCGGGGGGAGCTACAGAGTCCTGAAAAGAACTTCCAGCCCCAACTCTTTAGGCCATTAGAATTCTAGCAGTTGATCCACGTTTCGGCCTGACGCCTGAGGAACTTTGCTCTGAATTTTACGAACGGCGTTGGGCTGAGGGATGGCAGTCAGGGGTGGGGGGGGATGAGCCCGCCAGCCCCCAGCGTAACATCTCCATCTACGATACGTAGTGATCGCTTCAACGGCAGAATTTCATGTTGGAGTGTTACACACCCGAATTAGATTTCGGATTCCCTATTTTAGCGGTTTTATACTCGATATACTCCCACACCTACTCACATACGTAGATGAATACTGAACACGTTCTCAAAATAGCCGTATTTAAGACGGGAGCTTTTCCAATTATCATACTACTACTTAGACCCAAAAATCAAGCTGAATGGAAGAACCTCGTTTCTGGAAACCCTCCTCGGGCTGCACGTGCGTTTGGGCAGTTGGTGCCCATGCGCAGCCCGTTTTAATTATTGTGGGTCCTTAAGACCAGAGCGAGGTTCTCGGCTCTCCCCCCTTGGAAATGAAGCTCGTCTTTAGTGAATAGAAACGTGTTGGTCCTGTGGGGTCTCCTGTGAGTCTGAATCCCTAGGTAGAGGTCAGGGGTCAATCCGACGCACAGGCTTTTAGAGCGCTCACAGGTGCAGACCTGATGTTAGACTGCAGCCCCGAGTCTGGACGTCCGTCTGTCCGTCCTGATCACAGGAAGGAGCTGCAAGTTCACACCGACCCCGAGGGGTCAGGGCAGGGTCCCTCGCTCCTGGGCCCCCACCCCAGGGTGCACCCGCCTGGCTTACAGAGCCACGAGGGGATGCCTGGTCCCATCTGTCTGGTCCCCGCGCCCCCATCGCTGCTCAGAGCAGCCCCCCACCCCCGTCCTGGGGAAGGCATGGGGTCTCCAAGGCCAGTGTAGCAGGAAGCTGAGCCGAGCAAGGGTGCCTGGAGCCCCCTCAGAAGGCGCGGGCCCTCCCCTCACGCATGCGCACCTTGATCTCAAGGTGAAGCCCCCAGGGAGTGCTCGGATTTGGAACGGGGCAGACAGGGTGGGGGGGCGTCAGGGCTGCGGACAGGCGTGCACGAGGGCCCCTCCCCATCCCCACTAACGCTCAGGCTGTGGCTGCTCTTAACACTCCCACCCCCGCGCGCCCTTCCTCTGTTAATTTCTGGTCCTTCGGAGGGGTCACTGCCTCTGGCCAGTGATTCCAGGTGAAGCGACCAGCTGGATGCTTCCGAGCTTGGGAATCTCAGATTCTTGTAAAAATTACAGCGAGAGAAGGATAATCGCTGTCCCCTCTGCCCGTGACGCAGGCGTTCCCTCTGGGCCTCAGTTTTGCCCTTAGTCACATCCCAAGCTGGCCTCGCGCACAGTAGGTGTGCTTTCGTTGCCTGTGCCGCTCCCCTCCTCCCCAAAGCCCCAAGCGGGGTGGGGGCAGAGGGTGTGGCCAAGATTTATGTCCCAGGCCAGGGGTCCCTTCTCGTCCCCTGAAAACTGGCATCTCCGGCCCAGCCTCCAATGAGGGACAGCTTCGGGGAGACGGTCGGCATTTCAGCTGACGTCACAGGGTGCAGACACCCCAGGGGGGCGGGCCCGGAGGCCTATGGGTGTGGCCTTTACCAGTGACTGTGACCGTTCCACGCAGGCCATTCTCTAGGTCCAACTCAAAATCAAAATTTTAAAGCAGCCAGACCCCCAGCCTCTACTCGGAGAAGGGGGTGCTGCCCCCGCCGCCGCCCCCCCGCCAAAGCAAAAGTCCCAGGTCATAAAGGCCCTTGGGGGCAGAATCTCATCCCTGGGCCTGTCAAGGGTCCCTGTGCCCTAATCCTGTCAATTAGAGATGTCAGTCGCTGCTGCTGGCTGTAGTGACATAGCGACTATTCAAACAAGTAAATAAACAACCAGCCACGGTAGCCTGACATCTAACTAACACAGCACTTTCATTCAGCCTGTTGATCCAGTGACCCAGCGGGGCCCTGGCACCCCCCAGCTCCCAGTGACATCTTTCCCTCCCCGTTCCGCCCCCTGCCCCCATTAGAGAGGCTGATGGCGTCTAGGGAGTGTGCAGGCGGGCTTGAGGCCCACAGGACCACCGCTGAGGGAGGGCCCGGACAGGGCCCAACTTCTGGTACAGTATAGCAGCTCTGTCTAGATGCCAATTTGCTAAGCGGCCCCAATGCGGCGCGTCCTCTGGCCGGAACCAGGGGGTGGTCCTTTGAAACCACCTTGGCTCCTGAGCCCACCGCTCCTTCGAGAACAGAATACTATGCTTAGCTGGAACAGCGGGGCTGAAGCGGCCCTGTTCCCCGACGTGATGCAATATGATTGTTTTCTCTCTTCACTCCCACTGTAGTGAGAAGGCCACCAAGGTGCAGGACATCAAAAACAACCTGAAGGAGGCCATTGAAGTACGTGTCTGGGTCTGTCCTCGTTCTGTGGTCCCCTCCCGTTAGGCAGAGCTGCCCCCTGACCCCTTGCGAAATCTCTTTCAGACCATTGTGGCCGCCATGAGCAACCTGGTGCCCCCCGTGGAGCTGGCCAACCCTGAGAACCAGTTCCGAGTGGACTACATCCTGAGTGTGATGAACGTGCCCGACTTTGATTTCCCTCCCGTAAGCTGAGCCCCGGCGCGTGTGTCAGGCGCCCCCCGCCCCCCGCAGGGTAGCCGGCGCTCTGGACGCAGGCCCCCCTGGGCGAGAGCCACGCCCGTGTCCAGCAGAGCACAGCTCAGCGACGGCGGCCCCTGTGAAACCACGTTCCTTCTATTAGCGTCCTCCCTGTTTACAAACACACAAGACCCCCACTAATCGTTCCAGCGCAGCTCAGGAGGGATGAGCGAAATTCTGCCACCCAAGAGAAACAGTCATGAGTTGTGGCGCCCTTAATCGTCCCCTCCCAGGCATCTGGGGACGAGCGACTGTATGTTAAATACCGCGCACGAGCCCCTATGTCCTGTTAATTGAACGTTCCCTAAACCCCCCCGGGAACCAAGTGCCCGCCCTGAATTTTGTGCGGGGACGCCATCCCCCATCAGAGCAGCTGACCCTAGAGCCCGCTGGCGTGCCGGGCGCCCTGGCCTGGTCCTCTTCCTGTGCCCGCGCACAGGCCCCCAGGAGCCCGCCCCGACCCCCTTCTCTGCCTGCCCACAGGAGTTCTACGAACACGCCAAGGCTCTGTGGGAGGATGAGGGGGTGCGTGCCTGCTACGAGCGCTCCAACGAGTACCAGCTGATCGACTGCGCCCAGTAGTAAGTGACCACCGGTCGGTGCGGGCCGCCACGCCCACGCCCCAGGGCGCGGCCCGCGAGTCCTGTCCAGAGCTGCCAGCCCGTTCTGCCCACCTGCAGTTAGAATGAAGCCCTTCACTGCACTTTCCCGGGCAGGGACATTGTTTCAGATAAACAATGAAGGCCTGTTCGCCAAGATGATCATTGCTATAGCAATAGGTGATAGTCCTAATTAATTAGGGAGATAAGGCAGCTCTCACACATTGGATAATGTAAAAATATTTTATTGCTGTCATTTAAAAACATGGAAAACATGACCAAAAGGTGCCTCCCTCCCCGGCCCGGGTAGCTGAGAGCGGCTTCGCCATTGCTGTGGGTTTAGTAGACAAGCAAGTTGTGGGTTATTTTCACAAGGGACAGAAAAACGGGCCCATCTCAGCCCGTCCCTGCGACCCCCACCCCCACCCCTTCTTCAACAAAGTCCTGATTTTCTCAAAAGTTTGAACTGAGAGCTGGAAGTGCTAATTATAGTAACGCAAAACAGATGGAAATCCTGGAATTGTTTGCGTTTGTGTTGGATCCAAGTCAGAAGGACAGGTAGAGCGGCAGGCTCTGCGGTGCCCGCGGGGAGGGCGCGACCGCGGCCGGCACGGCCGGCTGGCCAGGGTGTTGTTTTTGTTTTGTTTTGTTTTGTTTCTTTTCCTTTTTTTTTTTAATGCAACATGAAATTACCCCTGCAACTTCATCGGAAAGTGGCACCATCCCCGCAGTGCCTGGCGAGTTGCAGGAAGCTCGGGGAGGGAGGGGCACAGAGCTGGCCATGTGTGAAATGGCTCCCTGGCCGGAGGGTCCCGGCCCCGCGTGGGCCCCGCGCGCCCTGCGCGGCCTCGCCCAGCCTGCCTCTGGCCTCGGTGCCTTCATGTTAAAAGTTGAGATGCTGGTACCTTGCCCATTTCTTAAGCTGCCTATTTTTATTTGTTGAACTGGGGTTTGGCTGGCCTGGCTCCAGCTGTCTCTCTCACAAGATTTGGTACTGATGAGCTATTTATAGAACTGTGGTTCTGTTGCCATGGCAACGCGCTGGCGGCCAGGGCGGCTGGGGAGCTATTTCTGGCCTGGTGCTGTAATGTAAGACTGATTGGGCAAGTTAGTGTATCCTCCCAGCCAGACTAACTCTAAACTGGTAAAAGGAAGGGGGAAAAAACTTACAGAACTTCTTTAAACAGACTTTTCCCCTTCGGGATTTTCTTTTCTGATGAGCCCAATTTAAAGCAATTCCAACTGCACCACGCCCGGCCCCCCCCCACCCCAAAAAAAAGAAAGTTGGGTTTAACATTAGTTTTCTATATCACTTAAATTACCCTGGTCTTCAGAAGTGATTTCTCCTACTAGTGTTTGTAGTCAAGCAACACAAAAGCAACAAGTCCAGCCAGGGAGAGGCAGGCGGGCCCCAGTTCCACACACGCTTTGGGGTCACGTAGGAGAGTCCCTGCGACCCCCTGCCCCCTGGGCCTGCCCCCTGCTGGCTCCGCCCCATCCCCTGCACGGCCCTGAGGTTTCTTCATGCTCCAGATTTCATATCTGCCCTGTTCGAGCCCCCGGACCAAACCGGAAGGGAACGTTGTGTCCGCTTCCTGTGCAGCGTGGCCAGGGCACGCAGGGCCCCTGTGTGTCGGCCCCTTTTGTTCTCTGTAACGAGTGAGATTCTGAAAAGGCAGAAGGAAGGGCTACCCCCGCTGGGGAACTCGGACATCTCCTCCTCCTCAGTCTCCGGGTTGCGGGGGGGGGGGGCGGAATCCACGCCGAAAGACCCAAAAGCATATAGTTGAAGCTTGGGGTCATAATGTAACCCACGCAGGCAGCGCCCCCAGCCACGGACCTGCCGGCCGATCGTGTCCGTGGGCTGGACGCGGGAAGGGCGGGCTCGCGGGCAGGACTGTGAGCGCCCTGTGTCTTTCTCTGCCTCCCAGCTTCCTGGACAAGATTGACGTCATCAAGCAGGCTGACTACGTCCCCAGCGACCAGGTACGCGTCCCGAGGCCTCGGAGTGCTCTTGATCGGCTCCTCCGGACTTTGGCTTGCGATCGATGAGTTTTAATAAATCGGTGGGTTTTGGTGGGACCCACTGACCTTGGTTTTGTTCTAGGACCTGCTTCGCTGCCGCGTCCTGACTTCTGGAATCTTTGAAACCAAGTTCCAGGTGGACAAAGTCAACTTCCAGTAAGTGAATGTTCCCTCTGGCCCTCAGGGTGGGTTGGGGGCCCAGGGTCAGCCCGGTGGCGTGACCTGGTGTCCTCTGTCCCGCAGCATGTTCGACGTGGGCGGCCAGCGCGACGAGCGCCGCAAGTGGATCCAATGCTTCAATGGTACGGGAGCCGCGGGCCCCTCTCTCGCTGAAGGACATGGTGCTGTTTGAACGGTGAGGCATCGTTTTGGCCCCCGACACACTTTGCTTTCTTGTGCCGTAGACGTGACTGCCATCATCTTCGTGGTGGCCAGCAGCAGCTACAACATGGTCATTCGCGAGGACAACCAGACCAACCGCCTGCAGGAGGCTCTGAACCTCTTCAAGAGCATCTGGAACAACAGGTGGGTGCGGCAGCTCTTAGGTTCCACCCCGGCCACCTGTGGGGGGCGGGCCCTCGGACCGGCGTGGAGCCCCACCCCGCGTTTGCCCTGGTATAGAACCGAATCTTGGGCACGAGCCTGGTGCACGTCCCCTGACCCCCGACCCCGCAGCAGACGCGCGCTCCTGCTGGGCTCTAACCTTGCTCCCTCTCTGTCAGATGGCTGCGCACCATCTCTGTGATTCTGTTCCTCAACAAGCAAGACCTGCTCGCTGAGAAAGTCCTTGCTGGAAAATCGAAAATTGAGGACTACTTTCCAGAATTCGCTCGCTACACTACTCCTGAGGATGGTACGTGGGACCCTCTGCCATGAGTTGGCACACACTTGAGCTCATTCGTTATTTTTCACCCATTTGCGTATGGAGAGACCCAAGGGGTTAAGGGGTTAAGGGGTGGCAGCAATGCAAACATGCTGGCTGTATCCTTTTAGTTACCGTACGTAACAAAACACGTATGTTCTCCATAGCTACTCCCGAGCCCGGAGAGGACCCACGCGTGACCCGGGCCAAGTACTTCATCCGCGATGAGTTTCTGGTAAGTAGAGACTCTCTTCAGTTCTCTCTTCGATTGCCCTTACTCTCCGGGGTGGAAGTTGACCTAATTGTACATTCGGGGATTAAACCATCCAGCACTTCCGTTTTATTTCATGGGTAGCTCACGCGAACTTGAGCTTTTTTGCCCCTTTGTTGGGATTTGTTTCAACATCACATCGGTTGCTGGTCAAGGGTCCTCGGTGGGGGGTTCCGGAGAAGGGGGGGTTCCGGGGAGGCAGAGCTGACCCGCCACCCGTGTCCACCCCGCAGAGAATCAGCACTGCCAGCGGGGATGGGCGCCACTACTGCTACCCCCACTTCACCTGCGCCGTGGACACCGAGAACATCCGCCGCGTGTTCAACGACTGCCGCGACATCATCCAGCGCATGCACCTCCGTCAGTATGAGCTGCTCTAAGAAGGGAACCCCCAAATTTAATTCAAGCCTTAAGCACAATTAATTAAAATGAAACGTAATTGTACACGCAGTTAATCACCCACCATAGGGCATGATTGACAACGCACCCTTTCCTTTCCCCCTTGAGTGATTTTGCGAAACCCCCTTCTCCCTTTCCGCTTGCTTAAATATTCCAAATTTAGAAAGCTTAAGGCGGCCTTCAGATAAAAAGAAAAAAAAGGCCACAATGGTTCCCTCTCTCTTTAAGTAATTGAAATAACAGCAGCAAACAGAAATAAAGAAATGAATTAAATGAAATATTGTCTTGTGCAGCATTAAAAATCAATAAAAATTAAATGTGAGCAGTTTGCGACTCCTTTGCGTTATTTGCGGTTTCGAGCAAAGGCCGTCGTCTGCGGTATCGATGGCCCCCAAAGTCGGGAGGCCCCCTGTGGAGGCGACAAGGCCCCAAGCTTATAAGCGGGTGTAAAAGGCTTGCCCCTTTCTTGACCTGATACTTGGGTTTCTGAAGGCTGTTTGCAGACAGTACAGGACATGCACCCTACCCTCGTCCCATACTGATGCCCCATGGGAACCACGAGGCCCACCGAGAATTCTACAGTTTGGTCTCTGCTGCCCTATCCAAAGATTCATCAGCTTACACCCCAGGCTCTGTTGACCCAGAATCTCCCCAAAATAGGCAGTAGCAAGAGCTATCAAGTAAATAGAAATGATATTAAAACAACTGGCCAGCCATTTGGGGAAAATTTTAAGCTGGATCCCTACCTCATTCCATATACAAATGAGTCAATCACATGTAAATACAAAAAGGTACTTAAAAAATGGCTATTTTTACAATTAAAACCTTGGTTTATATATTATAAATCTTTAAGCATGATCTCACATCCAAAAGCCCTGGAGGAGGGAATGGGGGAGGGGAGGTGGGAGGACTATACAAAAATTAAAATCACATGACATATGAATGGGGGTGAGGACTGGATAAAGATCTGTGACAAAGGGCTCCTATCCCTAATAAGAAGAAAAAGCAAACCCATCACAAAAATGGGCAAAACACATGAACAAGCAATTTTAAAAAGATACAAATACATTGGGGAAAACGTGGAACCTGCACCGGAAATGCAATACACAGAAAACCTGCACCATTGTTGGGAGGGGGTGGCCGCCCGCACCCGCCGGGAGCCGTGGTGGGTTGCCACTGGGACTTGAGGTCCACTTGGGTTCTCTAGTCCTTCATCCCCGGGGTCACCCCTTAAGTGTGTGCTCACCCATGGTGTGGCCTCCCTGGATGGGTGGGAGTAAGAGACCAGCTTGCCCCCGGCGTCAACCATTGCACCTTCTGAAACGGGCCTAATGGGGCATTAACGGAGTTGATTCTGTAATTCAGACCAAAATTCCACTTCCTGTTTTCCAAACCAAATTAATCCTAGCCAAATGAATCATCGGGCAAAATGAGCCTCAAGGAGGGCCGAAGGAGTCCCAAATGCACCGTCTCCATAAACATTCCTATATGATATTTGGTCCACATGAAAACTGCGTGCTTGCTGTATAAACTAGGCTACAAAACAACCCTCAAGAGCACCCTTAGCTCTGGCTGGGTCACTCAGTTAGTTATGGTGCCAGCAGGATACGCCAAGGTTGCGGGTTCGAGCCCGGTCAGGGCGCATACAAGAATCAACTGGTGAAGGCACAAATAAGTGGAACAACAAATTAATGTTTCCCTTTCTCTCTCAAAAAAATATATGTTTTCAAAAGCAGCCCCAATTAACATATAACCCACATAATTGCTTATTATGCAAATATAGCCATAAAACCAGCCTACAAATTCTCATAATCCCACAAAATACTAAAAAAACCCACAACTAATTAGAACCTGAGACCACCTATTCAGTGGGACCTCAAGACCAGCCCACCACACAAACACTTGTCCAAGGTCACACTATGCTAACAGAAAACAGGTTCGACACTAGTTCCATAGCCCCTCTTTCAAAGTGACCGCCTGTATGCTACTTCTACATAGCACTTCTGGAACCTTCTCTGAGCAGTCCCCATAAGATGGCCACAGCGCTAGCCACATATCCACCAAAATTAGAAAAATTCCAAGGCCACAAAGCAGTTATACCAAGAAAATGATACCTCAGAAGTACCCACCCCCGTTGCTGGTCCTAACTGGCAGCGACTTTGAAAACTTGTAGAAATAGAGAATAAAAGTCACCCATTATGTGCCCATCGGCCCACCGAGATAGGTTCGGCCATCACCGTCCCGCGGCCAAAGTAATTTGCCCCAAGAGACGAGGCAGGAAGCTGGGGAGATGGCCCTCACTCCGGGGGAGCCGCAGCCCATTGCTCGCTGCTGCTTGGCGGACGCTGGTTTGGAAGATCCAGGAAAAAAGGAAACGGTGTCCGGGTGTTTTTCCAGGATGCCTGTTGTCCATGACTTGTGGCCCTAAAGGAAATCCTGCAGGGCTCTCTGGGGCCCCACATCTGGCGGCGACGAGGGGGCGGGTGGAGAGGCGGCAGAGGGGCAGGGCTCTGGCCTTCCCGCCCGTTCTGGGGGCTGCCCTGGGGCCCCGGCTGTCGCTCCTCTGGGTCCGAGGGTCCCTTCCTGCCTCCTGGCCCTTCCCTTCTCTCTGAACCGCGGTCATTTCCATTGGCGCTTGGGCCTGGCAGCAAACCAGACTTTTACAGGGCTACTCTAAAATCTCAACTCTAGGGTCTTCAGCAAGCCAAAAAATTCTGAAGAATCACACCTAAAACTTTGATTACAAGAAGCCGTTAGTTTTAATTTCTTTAGTTGAATTTTATCTCTTTTCAAATGCAAAACAATGTATTTTTCGAAAGTGTAGAGGCCAGTGATCATAAATAACTGCTCATTGACATTTTAGAGAAATAACAACAACAACAACAACAACAATAATAATAATAATAAACCACTAAGCCCCCTGATGAGGTCAAACATGAGGAGGGCCTAAAATTGGGCAAAATTTTTATCTACCTTCCCTTTTATTTAAATGTGAGCAAAATTATATCAGAAAGAAGGCCTATTCTGTGTCAATTGACATTCTTTTACCATAATGCATGTGTTTTTTTGGACACTTTTGGTCATCTTATTATTCAGCAAACACGGAGAGAATATAGAATCTACACCAGCCACTGGGACTTGCACTTTGGTGGGGTCTGTCCTCTACTGGGGGCAACACACACTTACCAAATAAATCGTCAAAAGAAATACAGATGGTGACAAGGCCCCTGAGCTCATCAACAAGATGGGGACAACGGGGAACGGGAGCGACCTGAGGAGGGAGCTGCCTTAGATGGCAGAGCCAGGAGGGGCCCTTGGAGGGGACTTCTCTTATGGAAGCACAAGGCTGCGGAGGGGCTAGACGTCCAAGTGGCAAGCACTGTTTTCAATTAATATCAATTACGAAAACATCATAATGAGTATTTATGGAGCGCCTTCCCATGTGCCACGAACGGTCGCAGGCCCTCGATAAGGATTGTCTCATTCAATAATTTTGAAACCCTATGAAGATGTACCATTATCACCTGTACCAGGCGTAGCCAATCTGCACCCCACTGTACAACAATGAAAGAGGTAAATTACCTCTAAAACATTGTGAATAATTCATGCAAATTGTCCTTTTAACAATGGTTACAATAAAAGGCCAGTGCAACAGCACTTAATTTGAGGAGTTGCTACTGCCCAGGTTCCTATTTTGGAGTTGAGGGATTTGGCGCCTCTACCATAATTTTCCTGTGCTTACACGCTCATATACTAGGAACAACTAAAGTTGTCTGGTTTTGCCTACCTCATTCTCTGCCTCAATTAGGAATGTGTTTAGCTGCCAATAAGCACGTGTGTGCTTGGAGTGGCACAAAAAGCCAGAAGCTCGTACCTCCTTTACCGAGAATCCCAGAGGCAGGCTCTGGCTGGTGCGGCATCAGCAGCCCGCCAATGGCAGGGCCGATGCTGCCGCGCTCTCTCGGCGTCTCTCTCCCAGCGGTAAGGTGGCGTCCTGTCTCTAGCCCTAGGCTGATGTCCTTCCTTCTCTCCACCGCCGTGAAATATAGAACGATACCCAGATGCCAAGATAAAGAGGTAGATGGTTAGACACAGAGCTAGCTAGACAGACAGAAAAACGTTTGTTCAAGAGCACTGTTATGCGCACACACACTCGTGGAGATTATAATTCGGATCTTGATGGAACATCGAGAAAGGTACATGCAGCACCTGTAATTTGTAAGGATTAGGGAAGATAACGGGTAAGAAAAACTTTCAAGTACTAAGAGCCCAATTTGTATAATTCCATGTAAATCAGTTTGAAAGACTAGATGAAATAAATAATTTTCCAGAAAAATACTCTTTATCAAAATTGACTCCAGTGGAGACAAAAACAATCTAAGCAGGCCAATTACTGTAGGAGAAAAAAATACACAGCACAGTTGGCACGTGTGGTGATAAAATGGCTCCAGGCTACTCTGGAGTGGGAAGTGAGGAGGAAGCATGAGGGAGGCTTCCAGGGTGCTAGGGTCCATTCAGTCAGCATTTAGATCATGAAACATATATATTCCATTTGAGAATATTCATTGAATCATTCACCAACGATTTGTGCCATTTTCAGTGTGTATATAATACTTTAAATTTTTTTAAATAAAGAAAAAGGCACCAGGCCCATATAGTTTTATGGGGGATTCTACTAAATCTTACAAGATCAAATAATTTCAAAACCACTTAAATTATTCCAGAATAAAACCAAAAGAAAACTTCAAAATTATTTTTATGAAGCAAGTATAATATTGATTCTAAAACATGACAAAGATTGCATCTAAAAGTAAATTTACAGACCAACCTCACTTATGAATATCAATATGAAAATTGTAAAATATAAGTAAGCAAAATACAATATTAGATTTAAAAAATAATATATGATACCTAGATGGGATTAGATACAGTCTATGAATTCAAGAATTAATTAATGTCAGCAAAACAGTAATATTTGCCAAAATTTAATACCCACTTATATTTTTAGAAATCTAATAATATAGTAATTAATGAAACTCTAATATAATGACTATGTAACACATATGTATACTTACATAACATACATCTATATATAATTTGTATAGTACAATGCATATACATAAAATATTTTTTTTCCACAAATCAAAATTTTACTTAATGAGGAACCTCTAAAATCTTTTCTAATAAGGTCAGAAATAAGAAACAAAAAATACAAGGATGCCTTATATCGCCACACTATATTTGTCATCGTATTGGACATATAAACCAATTCAATTAGACAAAAGAAAGCAATTAGAAGTCTGAGAACTGGCAAGGAAGA